AAAAAAAAAAAAGTCTGAGTTCAATCCTCGGTTCTGCAAAAGAAAAAAAGATTTCATCCTAGTTGTGAAGCAGTGCTTAACTTACCGGTAAGTCTTGTCCATTTGGTTTTTCATGAGTGCTTTGTGAAAAAGGTCCTTGGTTTAGTTGGCTGTAGACTTCATGTAACCACCAAACTCAGGATTCCATATACATTTCAAGAGGAGTAGTAGAATTTTTGGGAGGAAGGAAAGGAGAAGATGATTTCACTGTGCAGTTCAGGCTAGCTTTAAACTCACTTGGTAGCCCAGGCTGGCTTTGAACTCAGAGCAACCCTTCTGCCTCAGCCTCCTGAGTGCTGGGATTACAGCTAAGTGGCAGTATTTATTGGTAAGGAGAGAATAAAGGATTTGCCACCCATAAAAACCAATAAGGGTAATTGTTTGGAGAGAATATGGGTATAGATTTTTAGATATCTGAATGAGAGGCAGCCAGTCAAGACTACAGAAAGATCTGTGAGCTGGAAGTACTCCCCCCTGCCTTTAGAATCTTTTGATAGTTTAGTAAAAATACTGCATCCACATAACTTAAAAGCAATTGATTGTGTTTTATGGTCTCCCTATGTACTTGAAGTTGACTTCAAATTCTTTGTAGCCCAAACTGGCCTCATTACTCTTGGTGATCCTCGTAAGACCTCTTGAGTGCTGGAGGGGTGTGTGTGTGTGTGGTGGGGGTGTGTATTTAGTACAGGGTCTCACTACACAGGTTGGACTTGTAGTGATCCTCCTGTTTTCAGCCTCCTAAATTGCTGGGATTACAGGTGTGCACCACCATGCCTGTCTCAATCCCCTTCTCAGTACACCGGGGGCAGAGCCAGCAAGGCATCCCCAGGGATTTAACCCCTGTATCTGCCTAAGCAGGTGCTTTAATCTGCTGAGCTAACTGGCTGGCTCTGTATGATTTATTTATTTTTTGGTGGTACTGGGTCTTGAACTCAGGACCCTTATTCTAGGTCTTGCTGTGTAGTTCAGACTCGTAATGGTCCTCTTGTTTCAGCCTCCCCAGCGCTGGGTTTACAGGTATGCCCTACCACTTCCAGTTTTGGTGGCTAGCACCATATGCCTTGGGTTCTGGGACTAGCATGGCATGCAGTATTTGGGATCAATCCCAGGTCTTTGCGCTTGCCAGAGAGGTGCTTAGGCTGCTGAGCTGTCTCCCCAGCTTGCCCTCCCCTTTTTGGGGGGAGGAAGCGGTGATTGAACTCAAGCCCTTGCACTTGCCAGGGAAGCGCATATTCTACTCAGCCATCTCCTTGGCCCCCTCCCCAGCCCTTGCTTTCTGTTTTAATTACAAGTCTGATTTTTATTTATTTATTTATTTTGCGGAAGCGGGGATTGAACTCGGGTCCTTGTGCTTGCCAGGGAAGCTCTTATTCTACTGAGCCATCTCCCCAGCCCACAAGTCTGATTTTTAAATTTTTTTTTTTTTTTTTTTTTTTTTGCGGTACTGAGGATTGAACTCAGGACCCTGTGCTTGCCAGGCAAGCACTTATTCTACTGAGCTATCTCCCCGGGCCCATAATACTTTATTTTGAAAATAAGTGTTTTTTTTTAGATAGACTCACTGTGTAATTCACGCTTGAACTCAAGACTATGTGGCTCAGGCTTGCCTCAAATTTGAAGCAGTCCTGCCTCAGCTACTCCAGTGCTGGGATTACAGGTACAAGCTACCATATCCAGCGTGGAGGTGAAGTTTTAAACCCAGAGGCTTTCTAAAATGTTACATGTGTAACAAATTTATACCCTTTTATTTTGAGGTGGGTGGCCAGAACAGCAAATCTTCAAGGCTATATTTTGCTTTTTACAGAAAGATGAGAATGAACTTTTAGTTGCTTATTGAAAGGGGAGATTGAAGTGTAAACATCTGACTTTGTTGCCTCGCCCATGCCACCCTAGAATTTATAACAAGATCCTAAATTAGCTGCTGGGGATGCTAGCACTGCTGAGCAAACATACTGAAAAAAAATATGAACCATTTTTTGGTAACAATTCTAAAATGAAGGGGCTGGGGAGATGTCTCAGGATAAGTGCTTGACTGGCAAACACACGGATCTGGGTTCAATCCCCAGTTCCACAAAAAAAAAAAATCTAAAATGAGCCATTAAAGAGATCATTTGTGCCCTTAGAAGCAACTCACACGTGAGTGGG